GAACCTGCTTTGGATTCTGCATCAACTGACTGGCCATGCTTACAACAAATGTTATATCTGGTCTAGTGCGGGACATGTAGATTAATTTTCCTACAAGTCTCTGGTAAGTCCCTTTATCCACATATGGATCCTCTCTAGCTTCCCCTAGTTTAAGATTAGATTCTACTGATGCTGGTGCTGGTTTACAAGCTAATTTGCATGTTTGTTTCAGAAGATCTTTAATATTTTTTTGTTGTGAAATAAATATTCCTTTGCTTGAGTGAGCTACTTCAATTCCGAGAAAGTGTTTTAATCTACCAAGTTTTTTATGTCAAATTCCTTAATAAGACTTTTTCTTAAACTAACTTTCTCATCTTCGTTATTTCCAATCAAGATAATATCATTAACATATACCAATAATATTGTGACTCCCCCTGAGTCTGAGTGTTTAAAGAATAATATATGATACCCTTGACTCTGTTGATACCCATTAAGAAGCATGAATTTAAAAAATCTTCCGAACGAGGCCATTGGTCATTGTTTGAGCCCATATAGAGCCTTTTTTAGTTTGCACACTCTATTACCTTCAGATTTAAACCCTGGTGGTATTTTCATAAATATATCTTCTTCTAGATCCCTATGCAGGAATGCATTTTTCACATCCAATTATTCCAGATGCCAGTTGTACTTGGCTGATAGTGAAAGTAATATTCTGATAATATTCATCTTGGTTACTGGCGCAAAAGTTTTTTGGTAGTCAATGCCACATGTTTGTGTTTACCCTTTTGCCTCTAATCTTGCCTTATATCTTTCTAGTGTGTCATCAGCTTTGTATTTTACTGAGAATATCCATTTACAGCCGACAAGTTTTTTTCCTATTGGCAAATTGACGATCTCCCATGTATTGTTCTTTTTTAGGGCCAACATTTCATCTCTCATGACATTTTTTCAATTTTTATCGAATAAGTCCTCAGAAATATCCTTAAGAATATGGATATCTTCTAATGTAACCAGATGAGAAGTTGTTGAAGGATATATTATAGGGTATAAGAGAGGAGGTGAGCTTATCTTATTTCCAGGAGATGGTTCAGATTCTTGGATATGCTTTGGAGCACAACTTAGCTTATACATCTGGAGTAAACCTTCCTAAATCTGATGACAGCTTTGTCATTGTTTTCCCTATCCTGAGTTTTAGGTGGATTGGTTTGAGATGGAAGGTCTAGAGGTGTTATTTCATTTTCCTCGTCTTCCTCAAGTTCAGTCTCCCCATGAAGATGAGATTTTGAAAAATAGGAATTTTATTCATCAAAAATAACATCAATAGAGACAAGGATTTTTCTTGTGTGTGAATGATAACACTTACAATCTTTTTGGGTAGCTGAATAGCCAATAAAGATGCATTTGAGTGCTCTTAGATCTACTTTTCCTCTATCATGACTGTGAATATGAACGTAAGCAGTACATCCAATGATTCTGGGTGCAAGATTATGATGGGTTCAAAACTCGGGGTAAAAAGAGGACAAAGTCTGTATTGAAGCTTTGAGTCCTAGGGTTGTTGTAGGTAGTCGGTTTATAAGATAAGTTACATTTAGAAGGGCTTTCCCCCAATAGGATTTAGGTGTATTACAATGAAATAGGAAAGCTCGGGTGGAGGCCAGAAGGTGACAATTTTTTCTCTGTGCAACCCTATTTTGTTGTGGGATATGAATACAGGAGGACTCATGGATGATCCCTTCACTTTGGAAGTAGGAGGAAAGGGTTTGGTTCAAATAGTCTTTAGCATTATCGGAGAAAATCTCCTTATCTTTACCCCAAATTGGTTTTTTATCATGGTATGAAAGATGGGAAGAATGATACTAACATCATATTTATTTTTAAGGAGACTCTAGTGCAATCATCAATGAATGACACAAACCAGCGTGTCCCAGAGATATTGGGTATTTTTTAGGGTCCCCATATATCAGTATAAATAAGATACAAAGGAGTATCACATCTCTCACTTTTGTTTGGGAAGAAGGTTCTTTTATGTTTAGCCAACTCACAAGTTTCACAATGAAAATTTTTATTTTCTAATTTCTGAAAAAATTATGGATACATATGTCTTAGGACATCAAAAGATGGGTGTCCTAACCTATAATGATGAAGCCAAATAGTGGAATTCTTATCAACTAAGGATAACATAGAGCAGCTATTTTTAGATTGGTTTGGTTCTTCCAGGTAGTACACTCCTGCTTTCTCCTTAGCAAGTCCAATCTTCTTCCCCGGTCTATGGTCCTGAAATAAGCAATATTTAGGGTTAAATAAGGCATGACAATTATGGTCATTGGTAAGTTTTGTATTGATATTAGGTTTGTGAATAATTATGGTACGTGGAGTATATTTTTCAAGGTGAGTGAGGGAGATAATCTTATGTCTCCTTGGCCTGCTATCGTGGTAAGAGAACCATCGACAGTGATGATTTTTTTATTGTTTGGGCAAGGAGTATAGTTGATGAAGTGGGTAGGTGAGTGGGTCATATGATATGTGACTACTGAATCAATGATCCATAATTCCTTTAAATGATTTCTAGAAGCACTTAAACTAATAGAAATTGAAGTCTTACCTGAGAGTACAAGTGATGAAGATGCATTTGATTTTTCAAGAGATACCAGGAGTCGTTTTAGTTTATCAATATCTTCTTTATTGAATTCTCTAAGGCTGGACTGTGCTTCTGAGGTGGGCTGACTTGTAGTGTTGTTGGCATGCAACGTGCTCCTTATTTCACCTTTTTTATTCCACCCCTTGCTGGGGGGTTTCCATGTATTTCCAACATGTTTATTTTGTGTCTAGATTTTTTGCAATAACTGCACCAAAGTGAGTCATCGTCTTTGAATTTTGAAGAATATTTATCTTTCTCCTTCCATGATGATTCTTTGTTCATCGCCATTGTTGAACTTTCAATGACCTTTGGTTCTAACATCACTCATCATCAGCTTTCTTCCGCATGGATGAGAGAAATGGTTTCATTGAGTGATGATGTCTCCTCTTTGTCGAGGATAAGCACTCTAACTGGTTAAATTCTGAAATTAGTCCTACCAGAAAATCATCAACTCTATATTTTTCAATAAAGTTATTTAGGATCGCAGCATCTTCCAGACATCTGGTTTCTATGCATCTATAGCAATCAAGTTCTTGCCACACATTTTGTAGAAGGGTGGCATACTCTATCACGATCTTACTCCCCTGCTTTGTGCTTCCAACTTTGACTTTAATTTCAAAGATTTGAGCCACATCACGAGCTTTGGAGAAGGCCTGTCTAGCAGCATCCTATATGTCTTTTGCAGTGTAAAGGAACATAAATGTATCGTTACTTTCTATAGTCATGGAATTCTACAACCATGACATAATCATAGAGTGCTTCATCCCATGCCCCAAAAATAGGATCTTTTTGTCTTAATCCTCCTCCAAGAAGGTGGTGTATTTTTCATTTTCCCTTTAAATAGGTCTTTACAAATTGAGACAACTTTAGGTAGTTCTTCCCATTTAGATGATAGGAAGGTTGCATGCTTTGGAGGTCACCTCGTCCCTGCACCATCGATTCCTCAGTTTGGTCAATGCTCTGGGAGGAATTGATTTCTGACATTATGATAGTGATTAAGACAATATGTATATCTTTGGGTAGCAATGAAGGCTTCCAAAAAAAAAAGTTTGAAAGAGGATTTTTTTTCTTTTTTTTCTTTGAGAAGAAATCTTCCCAATTAAATAATTGGGCCAAGCCAAGTCTTTAAAAAAACTCAGTTTGTTTTGGGTGGCTAGGGCACGCACAAAGGGACTCGAGCGCAAGGTTTTGGCCGATCGAGCCGCAAGCAGGAGTCTCCGTCCCTTGGCTTCTTCTTCCGGGTCAGGTGGCAAATCGCAAGCGGAAGGGCGACTACAAGTCTTCATCCCTCGGCTTCTTCTTCCGTGTTGGTTCGCAAATCGCAAGCATAAGGCTTGTTAGATTACGTTCGACTCAGTCCCGCACACAGGAGATCGGCTTCTTCTTTTGGATACACGAATGGGTTGGTTCACAAGCAGTGGAGCTTCATTCTACTCCTTTCTTCTCGACCCTAGGTAGGAAGCTCACCTCAGTTCTTCGCATAGATTCGATCGTTTGTAGAGAGGACTGAAGTCGTCGAAACCGATGACCAGTTTTTGGGGCGATGAAGGCCACCCTCTCTACTTCGTATCTCTCTTACGAAGCCTCTTCAATTCCTTCAGTGCTCTAATACCATGTCGAATTCAGAGAATTAGAAAGGAAAAGCTTGTATTTATTCCGTAATATCTTCCCTATTTATAGATCTATACAAGATATCTTAATGAGGAAACAATAAATTACATATTTAATACATAAAATCTCTAAAATACTCTTTCCTAAATTAGTTCCTTCATTATGGCGTGATCCATGAGAGCTTCCCACAGATAGTTCTCTGTGACCGTCGAATCCTTTGCACTAGGAACGGTTGGATTTCAACACATAAATATTATGAAAAAGACGTATAAATAAAGTTAACAACTCATTCAACACTTGTTTAATATGAGGATTCAAAAAACAGACCCTAAGTTATTGTGACAAAGCTAATGACATGATGATATGATGCCCAACATAAGTTTTAGCCCTCAATATACCACAAACAAAATAAATTTTCATCCTCCATAATTCAATTGTTAGTTTTTCTAACTTATTCAATGACCCTTCTAACTCTATCAAAACTCAATTTTTCATGGATCATGTAAATACTCCTGTTTGGTTAGCATTAATTCAAAATAGATTCCTAATTAAACAACCAATGTCTACACCTCTCATGATAATTCATCAAGAACGTTGAGATCAAGCTAGATGGAGAATTATGCTAAATATACTTTAAAACTATTCAAAATAGAAAAGGAACAACCTTATATTTCAAAATACAAATCAATCTAGCCATAGCCAAAAGAAAGATACTTGATATGGAGTTTGGATTGTCCCAATCTAAATGGTGGAAAAAATAATATTTTCATACCTGCAAAAAGTTTAACATTTGCTCTTCAATCGTACCACGCATTGCAAGTGTTTCTACATGAATAGGACGAGTAGCCCCCATTCGATGAGCACGACTAATGACCTGTTCCTCCATGCTAACAGAAGAATAAAAATGGGGAAAAAAATTAGTCAAATAAGATATCATCAAAATAATTCAACTAACGTGGCTAGTAAGCGCAGGACAAAAGGGCATGCATGCTAGGCTAAAATATAAATTTTGAAAGAACTATAAAAACCATAGAAAAAGAAAGAAATGATGATAGCAAATTAGAAAAAGAATGAAATGAAGATAGCAAATTCGAGAAAACTAGTTATATATGTATGTAAAACACCCACCTTCTATCCCATATGGGCTCCATCAAGAATACATATGTAACAAAGCTCAAATCAAGGCCTAAGGCAGCACTCCCATCCATTAGAAGAACTGTGCAATTCGCATCATGCTGAAACATCTTCAATGATTTCATCTGCCAAAATAGATACGAACACCTTACATTCCCAAGTTGGTTAATGACTATTAAGTTCATAGCAGCATACCTTATTGAAGGAATGGAGAGGACTGTACATTTTACCATAGGTGATGCCAGCAATGGTTAGCTATAAAGAGAGATTAAGCCAGAAATAATATTATGGCAATGTTTACACATTGTAGTATATGTTAAAACAAGCTACTCACAAAAAATTACCTGTTGCTCAATAACATGTATGTGCTCAAGGAATTGAGAAAACACAATAACTTTCAAAGGCGATGCTTTGCAGGAATCACAATTTGGCCTTGATGTGATCTTCTGGTGGGGTGATACCTTTGAATGGATATCGGGAGATCCTACAAGCATTTCATAATTGTAAATCCCATCTGCACAGCAATGCATTTGCATGTTAGATTCCAGCAAATCCTTCAACTTCTGAATCAAGTATGCAACTTTGCTGCTAGAAGTTGATTCCCAATCAGGATCCCAGTCATCCTGCAAAAGACAACAAATAGAACAGAATATTCTTTGTGTGAGATGAAGGGAAAATGATGCGTGATATACCTGCTTGTATGAAGGCTGCAGCTCAATAAGATCTTTAGGAACAGGCCACTTGGGATTTGGATTTTCTGGACGTTTTAATACCTCCGGAGATTGCATTTCATAGTGGTAGTTACAACCAGGATAAGTACATTTTTCACTGTCTAGAGCAACACAGTCGAGGCATAGGAGATGCCTACATGGCGTAATAATAGGCAAACGGCACCAGTCCTTGCACCTAAAAGAGTTAAAATGAATCAAACTGCAGGAATGCAGCATAAGTAACACAATGCATTCATTACCTGAAACAGCTACATCCATCCAGAAGTGCATTCTTTATGAATGCATAGTCCTCAGCAAGAGGATCTAAGCCTTGCTGCACTAGTATGTCCATTGTCTCCTGGATATCTTGGCCAGCATCTGTTACTTTAATATGACCAGCCACACAACACGAGAGCCTGACATTCTTTATCGTACTACTACGAAACTTCCATTGTTTAGGGTTTAGGAGCGACTCAACATGTGAAGGATCATTCCAGTCAGCCATTAAAATATTGCGCCTGACAGTTAGCACAAGTTCATTGTAGCTCTTTGAATGCTCTGCAGTGAAATCTAAAAATGTTACTTTCTTGATGCAAGGAGGAATGCTCTTCAAATCAATTTTTCTTGCACTTATCATGATTCTTTTAAGTAGCTGCAACAAATAAGTACGTCCCTCCACCATATATGCCTCAAAAGGTCTAAGGATGCCAGCCTCCCATGATTTGTGATTTTGTCCATAGGCTTCTTCATGAAGAAATTTAAGCATGGGATGCAACTGTGCCACCTGACTGCTTGGGGTATTTGGAGTTGGAGTACCAGTTAAAATCCACCGATTTGATGCATGCAAGGAGATGGACATTTGAAACTTGTTTGTTAAACTTAGGCTTGAACCAAGAGTGTGACCTTCATCCAATATAACCCTAAGCCAATGCACTTGCATCAGTACGCTCTTCTTATGTGGGCTCCATTCAGAGCTGAATCGGTTAAAAGTTGTTATAACCACATCATAGTCCCATGCAAGATTGTGAGCACCTGGCTTACTGTTATCATTCCAGACAAAAACACGCAATTGACCAGGAGAAATATGCTTTTCAATTTGGGTCTTCCAGTGCTCAACTAAATTTGTGGGAACAACAACTAGAGTTGCCCCAGACAGATACAGTCGGCATAAGTCCAAGGGTTTGGTGAGAGCAGTCTTAAGGGCAGTTGAATCAAAAACCAAATTTTCAAGGTTGCGTGGATAATGCCACCTCGTTTGAAGTCTCTGAGGTTTTGCCACTAAACCAAATGCTTGAAATATCTCATGGTAAGAATGGGATTGTTTGCCAAAAACTGTTGAATAGTCTAGATCTGGAGATGTTATGCCAACATTTTCCATATTTAAAAGTTCATATAAGGAAAGATTAGCAAGCCAAGTAAGAGCCTTCTTCACTTTAAAATCAAGCAACATTAGATGGTCATTTAGAACACTAGAAAAAAATGAAACATTTTCATCCTTTCCTGGTTGGTTACCTTTGGTATAAAATCCAGGCAAATATGTAATTTTTCTCTTGCAGTCCCAAGATTCTTCCGGAACAGCACAACTTTGATGGGATGGATCCTCATTCATGCTACAAAACCAGGCAGCTTTTGTATCAAGATTTAGCCTATTTGTGAGTTTCCTCCACTTTCTACAAGCATCACACTGAACCCAGGTCTCACTAGAATCAGGAATATTATTTCTCTTATGCTTTTTATTAGATGAACTGGTCAACAATGCATCTTGATCAGTAACGGACTGGATTCTAGAAAAATTTGATATGTCAAAGCTGCTAATCAGATTATCCATACTATTTTTGTTTTGGTGACCATCAGCATTTTTTCCATATGAATCCAGCAGATCCCTCTTAAGATGGTTCAAACTTCTCGTTGATCTACCAGCACATTTTAATGGTGTAGAGTAAGCACTACAAGCTGGGGTACTCAATTTCATAACTGAAGTAGCCTTTGATGCTACGGATATCTCACAATGCACTGGTCTCCCTCGCTTTAGTGAGAGAGGTTTTACAGTTGCAGTGGATCCAAGATCAGATGATAACTTGTTTGAACAAAGCTTCCCTCTTTGGCCGTTCCTATCCATAAATCTTTTCCATGCAGACTGGAGGTATGTAGTAGTCAATTTATTAGAACCAAGCTCATAATAGCCGCATCTTCGGTAAGATTTATGCATGCACCATCGTACATCTACACCATCTGGTGGATCAGCCAATGTGCCATGCGTTTTCAAAATAAGAGAGAGTGCAGTTACAGTCTTTCCCAGTCCAGGTTCATCACAAAACAATCCTCCCCGAAAATCACTAATAGTGGGTGCTGCCCCAGTAGATATCTCGCCTGAAGCAGTATTGATATAGAATGAAAAACCATCTACTGTTGAAAATCTCATGCATAGAGGATGAGGCATTAAGTCAGATTTGCGTTCACGTCTTAACATCCACACAACTGCTGCCTCCTGATGAGGAAATAGCTTAAGCTTCATGCATGGTGTGATAGAAGATGCTAAGCATCTCAGGTGATGGCAAGTCGCGGCAATCCTAACAACATCTATGGGACGAAGTAAAGAGAGAACCTTATACAATACATCATCAGCAAGATCCCAAATACCAGGACTTGCAGCCGTGTTTTCATGAGGTTCTATTCTAAAATGAAATGCCCCATCATCCCGCCCTGCGCTAGGCAAACACTTAAAAATCTCATGCAGATCAAATAGCCGGTTACCACCAGATGTCGGTGCATTGTGTATCTCACACCCAAGAACATGACATTTAGAAATGCTCCAAATGCCCTCATCATCTGCATCACGATAATCCTGATTATTATAATTAGAGGCAACCAATGGACTTCTGGCTTCCCAGTCGCAACTGCAAATATTAAGTCCCAGTTATTATCAGTGGGAAGTTTATTAATTAAGAACTTGGATAATCAAATGCTTAAAAAGAAAAATGAGTCAAATTTAGTTTCCAATTGCAAACTCAAGAAACTACTTAAACAATGTTTTAGAGATGCACTAAATGCCCCTTAAATGACAGTTCTCTGAAAGTAAGCAACAAGCAAATGGGCAAAGACCCTGGATGCATAGCTGAATACAGAACTGGCTAAAATTATTGCAATTACAATGCAAATAACTTACCAGCTGAATTGCTTTAAATGCTTGATCTCTATGAGATTATACTGTGCATCATGCAAAATTATTAAGAATCATTTTGGATCATAATTATTGCAAAATGCAATAAGATCTACTTCAAAACTATTTCAAAGGAACAAAGCCATATGTATATGGAGTATTAAATGTAAAATGTGAAAGCTATTATGATCCTTGTGCATATTTAACAGTCACATAAGAAGTAAAGGTTGGGCTTTAAGAGTTCAAAATAGTAAAATATGTGTTTTCTTGGCAATATAATCCTAGATGTGGGCTTAAAACATGGACATGATGGATATAATGATATTGATAACTATGTTTTCTATTGAAATTCTTTATGAGGCTAGTTCCTTGTTGCATCAATTTTTTTGTATAGCTGAAGTATTTGACATAGCTTCGCTCAATAATTCACAATTGAATGTCATCACATGTCATTGAGGTTAAAATATCTTAATGCATTGAAACAATACTTATTCAAAATGGTCTCATAAACTCTCCAAAGTCATCCATTAGACATCATAAACCAAATAATTATTTTTTTCAATTCACTTCAAAATCTTTAAAAGTATCCCAATGTTGACATTAAGACATAAAGCAAGGCACCTAGGAAGGCCTCTATAGGTTTCTTTCTCATTTATAGGCTAATACTAATAGAATATTAGTTAACTAAAACTCACTCACTTCATTCAATGTTCTCACATCCATCTAGGTCTCCATCATTTAAAAGAAAACTTGCATTCATAAGGATCTAGGCATTGTGCAAATAAAGTTGTACCATTAGTTTGTTGATACTTCTATAACTAGTGAAATACAAAGTTACAAACCACTCATATTCTAAACTATATTAGCATGATATTAGTTGATTTAACTCCCTCGCTTCATTCAATGTTGTCACAAGACTCACAACCATTCGAGCCTCCAACATTGAAAGAAAAACTTGCATTGATGAGGATCGAGGCTTTATCCAATTAAAGATGTGTCAATGATCCTTCTACTACTAATAAATAATATCCACTCTCGTGTTGATAGATTATCTTAACATGATATTAGTTGACTATAAATTACCAACTTCATTCAAAGTTCTTACATCCATCCGAGCCTTCAACATTGAAAGAAAAACTTGCATTGATGAGGATCTAGGCTTTATCCAAGCAAAAGCCAACCTTTCTTTGGCCTTGTTTAAATTAAGGTTAAGATCACCTTAAATATAACTCCAAGCAAGCAGACACATGGAAAGTGAAATCAACTAAAAAAAGCAATAGTAAGCATATCCCAAAAAAGAGAATTGCACAGCTGATATAGAAGAAAGCTGAGATTTTGAGGATTCTACTGTATACAATTCCAAAAAAAAAAAAAACTGAATAAATGGATCTTACAGCATTATGTTTCTTGAAATCAGCATTAATTGTAATTACATCCTTTGCAGACATGAGCCTGTATAGCTACATTCCCCTCCCTTCTTCCTCTTCTTCTTGTTGCAGAGTTTCAAAAAAAAAAGCACTCCAAGTAATTATAATAGTAAAATCACCCACTCTTACATTCTCATTTCCATAAATTAGCTAGCCTAGCAAGGCTACTAGTTTCACCCAGACTGCAAAAGCAAGCCTGGAATGGTAATAGAGATTCCAAATATTTACTCAAATTTTTGCAACATAAAACCACAATCCACGTCTGTTAAAAGTGCCACCAAGATAAAAGAAACAAAAGCATCACTCCATAATTGAAGAAAACGGATGGATGCATTAGAGTCTACCAACGCAAAAACAGAGACAATGAGTTTCATTTTCCACCAGAAAGCAATATGAAACCAAAAACAGGACACACCTCATATGCTTGAACAAGGAAGCAGCTACTGTAGCCAACTTGGGGAACTGCCACCCGCTCCAAACATCAATCGGCAAATAAACATCTACCAATACCAACGCTCTCGCATCTCCAAATTCCCGGGAGGAAACCTTCAGAACCCTCGCTTGGATCTTCACGCACTTCTTGACCGTGAGCGTGTGCAGCTGATGAATGATGCTCATGCATCCTCCCAACCCTCTTCGCCTCTTCCTGAACTCCAATCCACCGCCGCCACCTCTGCCGCCGCCGCTTCCACAATTCCAAGCAGAGCTCTCCTCCCGCTCCATCTCCCAAGGTGCATCAGCTTCGGAGACAGGTAGCAGCAAGAAACCGTCCTCGGTTCTGAATCCGACATTGTGCCCATCGGCAAAGAGAGAGCAAGGAACGCAGGAAGGTAGGCCTCGGCACTTCTCCGAAGACGGGCCCACTGCGAGAACCGCACGGAGAAATCCGCAAAGCTTGTAACCGCTAACGGAATCGGTAAGCTCGCCGTCCGCCATGACAGTAGCGATTTTGACAGTGGACTAGGGTTTTAAGAGTCTGACAATTTAGGGTTTGGATTGAGGAATCGAATGCCAAAGAATGGCAGAGAGGCGGAGAAGCAAATGAGGAAATTGGGCAGCGAAGCCAAGGCACGGATTGGACTTTCGAGGGAGGAAACTGTTAGAGGAGTGCGTCTATTTGACGGCGCACGTCTCTTGGCGCAAAAGAAACCATTCTACCGCTTTTTTTTATTGATTTTTAAGCTAATTTTTTTATATAAAAATATTTTAAAATATAAATTTTATATTTAAAAATTATTTTAAAAAATAATAGCAAATTATCTCAAAGAATTAACTTTTCAGTATAAAAATTTATAGTTCAAAATTAAAAAATATATATATATTTACTAAAATATTATTTTGAAAAGCAATAAAAAATTATCTTAAATGAAATCTTAATATGATGTTGATGCAGCTCGAGAGGATCTTCGATCTCAGTCATTGTACTATTTTTATTGGTTGACAGTCAAAATCAAATAAAATTAAAATATTAAAATATAACTTAAAGCACCTAAAGAGTCAAAAAATTTGCTTTATGCAAAAAAAAATAAAGCATGCATAAGATCTAAGAAAAAAGAGTTAACTTTATGTATGTAGAATTATATGGACATATTATAGAACTCATAATTTAGCCAATGTTATTCATGTCCGATCTCGTTCCCGCCTCGTATCTACGAGCTAACCGGGCCGGGTCGTGACATGTTATATAGTATTTATTCAAAGGAGCAAATGATTTCTTCTTAAGAGTAAATATTTGAATGACATCTTATTTTTTGCTCTTTGAATAACTCAAAAAAGTGTGCAAATTAGTAAGCAAGACAATTTGATCATTAATAATTTTCACTTCAAAATTCAAGTATTTTCCCCCCAAAAAAAAAAAAAATTCAAGTGTTGATTTAAAGGATTAGAATCCAAAAGAAAGATAATTTTTTGTTGATCTTATTATTAAATTCACAATATTGAAAATAGAATATGAAAGAATTTCTTAGTGAGGCCATCTAGTTTTATCAAAGCTCATACAAAAAATTTAAATTGTTTTCATATTTATTTTTTTTTAAATTTTAAATATTTTTTGTATATTTTGAAAATTAATTTTAAAATTTTATTTTGTTGCATAGAATATTCGCGGTGATAAAGTAACAAATTTTATGTCTTAGTATTGCACGAGTATCCAACTCACAAACAGAGAAAGAACAGAAGCACCATAATTTTTTACATGCAAAACCTCGAAGGGAAAAACCACGAGACCACTAGTTGTAATGATTTCACTAGTGTTGAGTAAATTACAAATGATTGGTTCGTTATTGAGATTGAGGATGATCATATTACAACAGTCAACCGTTAGGTTGAAATCTTGCTACGAATAGGGATTGGACTTAGGTTCAACAGTGTTCGGTGGATAGACAGAAATCTGTCATTAGTTGGTGGTCGAGCGGAAGTCCGACGACAACTGGTGGTCGAGGATGAGGAATTTGGTGGCAATAGAATTTTGATTTCTCTCTCTTGCTTCTCTTCCTTCGCTGGATCCCCTTCAATGAAAAATGATGAGTCTATTTATAGTTTTTTGTGAGTGGCATAACTAGTAAATATGGATAAGTTAAAGGACATGTTGGGAGTGTTTGAATGGACGGCTGATATCGACTCATTTGATCATGAACCGTTTATTGAGTATTGGAGTGTCTTAATGATATCAAAATTCAATGATCTTGGGTTCGTTGGATTTGTCCCGACGTGCCACTCGATTCGACTATAACATGTAAATGTTTAGAAACCATTTGGTAATCCAATTTATCGTTTGAACCTTCCAAATGTGCTTTGGATATTCGATTTGGGCTCATTTGGGCTCGGATTGGGTCGAATTTGGTGTCATTGAGTTCGTTTTTTGAGACGCTCAGTTTGACTATAATTTTGCTGAAATCAGAGTACAAATGGGCCTAAATTTAACTTGAAAGTTTCCCACTCAGTTTTGCCTGAGATTCGTGCCCAACCATTATTGATTTTTTTATGATATATATCAAGTATGAATTTTAAGTCTCTCAAAGGGCAATAATCTCTAAGGTTAATAACACTTTTCAAGCTCCAAAATTACTCTCGATTAGAGGAAAAATGATTCTATTTTAAATTTATCTTGGTTTTTAAGGGATTTGGCCCTAGTAAAGATTCAAAAGGAATGACCAGTCCCAAATATATTAATAGATAACAATAAAAAGACCTGAAAAAGTTATACCAACGATCATAAGTTGTAATGTTCATAGGAAACTCATGATCTAAAACTAACGAATCAACTAGGTTTAGTTAAAGATTCCGTTTTTGTGAAATGGTCTTGAGGTTGATGTTATAGTTGATTAACAATTGATTAGATTTTGTAAAATTGAATTATTCTTATGAGCTTAATAAAATCATGACTTTCAATAAATGATGCATGAGTACATACCATTTAATGAGGGCTTTTAATTATATACATGAGAGTTTGGCCATGTCACACCCCAGAATCAAATTTAAAAAATTTGTTTATTCTATCTTTTTAATTATTTACCAGAGTGTCTATAAATCATCCTTATAATTCAATCTAGGAAAATCTGCATAATAATTGATAGCTTCATAAAATCACAACATTCATTTTATCTAGTAAAATTTAATAATATCACAGTAAAAATATCCATAAAATTCATATATATTATATACTAAATGTTATATGATAAAAGTGCAGTAAATGAGGAAAAAAATTGTGTTTTAATTGATTTAGAAGAGATTAAATCATCATACTCAAAATAATTGAAAACTAAAGTGAGATCGGTTACCTGTAATGATCAGAAGATTTTTTATAATAGAAGCTATTGAAGAAAATGACCAAAGTCTCTTTTCATTTTTATTTCTCCGGGTCGTATTGTTTCATAATCTCTTTATGCCAATATCATGTTTAAACTGGGGGAATAGTCAATTTATTCTCTATTAATCTCACTCTCTACTAACTCAAAATTCATGGATCCTCAATAGTATAAGCGGATGCCTCATCATCCTTTAGACATCTCATAAATCTATAGCATTTTTTATATGTTGTATTGATTAATTGTGGAGCGTACCTTGTCAATGCAGTAAATGCAACTTCGTACTGCATCATTTTATTTTCTCCCTGCTCCTATCTCATAAAAGCTTCATGCATTTGATATCGAGCTGATGGGGGTATAAACCAGACTATGAATACAATTACAAACTCCATAAAATCTCCACATTCGTTATGCCCTAAAAGTTCTCCCTTTAATGTTGTATCTATCATCTCTCAGTCTCTCCTTTGAACAAAAACACTACTAGTGGCACTTTCCTATGCTCTAGACACTAAATGAGTCAAATATTTTCTCTATCCTCAACAACCAATCTTCGGCTACTCAGGGTTCTTTAACTCATTAATTTGAACAACGATGCTTAAATTTATAAAACATTTATAGAGGTCTATTCTCTTTGGATTTCTTATGTCCAATCTGTTTAATTTAATGTTAGGTATTAGTCCTAGATTTAGGTTTGCTTTTATGTAGCTATTTGTATAGCTTGTAGGAGCCTATTAATATGATATAGCTTGTATTAGGAAAAGTAGCCATGGAATAAAGAAATTTTGCATTAGTTGGCTCACGGTCCCCCTCTCCTCTCCCTCCTCACTCCCTCTCAAGATCTTGCAAGAAGATCTCTTAATCTTCCTTCTTGAGTTTCAACATTTAAGTATTACTGATTACCTATGAAGCATACTGACAAGCTGTATTAAACAATCAGAACCTACTGGAATTGTTGTTGTACTTTGTTTATAATGTATATCTTGATCGGCAGGGTCCATCTATCCACATGTATATATTTTTTCCTAATCAGTTAGCATATAAATTCAATATGCATGTATATACATATTAATCAATTAAATGTAAAGATAAAAATCTATATCATAATCAATTTCTATGATTTTCATTACAATTTAATTATTACAATAACTACTCTGATACCAATTTGTTATGCCCCACAATCAAATTTAGAAAAATTATCTATTTTATTTTTTTTTAATCATCAATCAAAACTTCTATAAATTAATTATCTACATAACTCATTGTTCAAGAAAAGCAATTAAATATCATACATATTAAAATATTTTGTTATATTCATCAACCAAAATTATATTTACAATAATCACTTATTGTTAGTGATCTCCTGACAATTCAATTCTTCCAACAAATGTTCTGATAACAATTTATCACATCCCACAATTAAATTAGGAAGAATTATGTATTTTTATCTTTTTAATTATCAATCATAGATTATATAAACCGCCCATTTAATTTAATATACAAATGAAGCAATTAAATATCATACACATTAAAATATTTCATTATATTCATTCATCAAACTTACATTTACAATAGTCAATGATTGTTGGTGATCTTCTAACTATTGTAAATATAATTTTGATGAATAAATACAATGAAATGTTTCAATATGTATGATATTTAATTGCTTTTGTTGGATATTGAGTTATATGGATGATATAGAAGCTCTGGTTGATGATTAAAAAGATAAAATTGATAATCCTTCTAAATTTAATTCCAGGGTGTGATATACCATGTTATGATTAATGAGTTAGCTAGGCTCAACTTTGATAAATATTCACTTGCATGAAATGTTCTTGAAAGTTTAATATATCATCTATATTTTTCACACGATGTAAAGGAGTAAAGTTTAATTAAAAAAATGGTCATGAGATCATGTAAATTTGATTTAAGGAAAAAATTCTAAGGTTGATGTTAGAGTTGTTAATGTCTTATTAAAATTTATAGAAAGGGATTTTCCCCAAGAGTCAAATAAAATCACGACTTTAAATTTATTAAGAAGAATATATATATTTCCCTAAGCCCAAGTCTTGAATTATCTTCTTTATTTCATAATACAAGTTTGGTAATTGAATATCTTCAATTACTTCCCTCAAAAAGTTAAGTAGTATAGTAAATGATTTTTTAAGTATAATTATTAAGACATTGCACATCCAATTTTTATCCAACTCCATATTAGAATGTTCATATTAAAAAAAAAATTAAATATTATACAACTTTGAATGCAAAAATTCCAAAAATATTAAATGTCATACATTTAAATAAAATAAATGACTATAAACAAATTTGATTAATTGTTT